TTCTCCTGCCACTCACAGGAGACCCCGCCCCTTTCCATCGCCTTCCTGACTGGAGACTACCTGACTACGGGTGCGCGCACTGCTGCCTTTAGCTGTGCATGGCTAGGGGGCGCGCTTCCACCTTTATCTGCTGGCAGGCTGCGGAACACGTGACCACCAGGCTCTGGCTCCTGTTATCCCAGGAGGACAGAAAAATAAAAAAGTCTTTACATACCTATTAACATTATTTTTACAGCATGTTAAACCCATCTTTAAAAAAAAAAAAAAAAAAGAGTGGAAGAAAAGGTGATAGCATGTCTTTATTGCAGTCTGTCTCCATTGGGGGTGATTTCCCCTCACTTCCTGTCCTGGAATTAAAGGGACGGAACCGGCAGGCAGTTTTTGTCATGTGGCAGCAACAAAAACATTACAGAAATCTGCTCTCAGTTCCTGTCCCTTTGATTGCGGGACAGGATGGAGACAGGCAACATGCATCTCTAAAGTGGAAGTTCACCCTAGAAGTACCACATGAACATTAAACAGGGGGGTGTTATGAAGCTCCATGGTGTGTGCATCATAGAACAAACCCCTGTGAACAAAAATAGTCAACAGCGAAATCACCGCAAACATAAAAAGTGCACAAGGGTGCTTTGGTCCTCTTCCGGAAAAGAGGGCCACAGTGTCCCTGAACCCTCCGGGGCGCAAGGCTTCTTACAGGGGCAAGGCACTGTTGTCCACCTGGCAGACCACGATCCTTAGGGACCAGCCAAAGACAGCCCTCAAAGTATTAGGAAGGGGCTCTAACAAAGAGAGACCCGTGAGTGCATAAAGGAAAAAGACCCATTAAGGCCACGGTGTGTGCCCCCCCCCCCACATCAGGGAAGGACCCCAAAAGACCTGCACCCTCCGTCTTTTTGGTGAGAAAAATTGCCAGAATAAATAAGTGCTATAAATAAATGAGTGCCATGTGCAGTACACGACAGGCCTTGTGGCCGGTATTAATATTGCTCTAGACTAGCCAGAAGACTTGCCCAGGAGGCATGTGCAAGAAAAGCAAAAATGGTGATGTGACCTAATGCCAGTTGCCACAATTGTGGGGTCCCACACCCCCTTTGCTTCTTTGGCACCCCTGGGATGTCAACCCCAGGGGGGCACATTACCAGAGCTTCTTGCGTTTCCAGCCTTCCGGCCAGCCCCACTCCTGCCAGAGGGCATTAGCACCGGAGGGATTCTAGCCTACAACTGGGGACAAGCATGGTGCACCAGGCTAGAATCAACCCAGGAGGAAAAGGAAACCCCCCTAAAACTCCAGAGCAGAGGCTACTAGCATGCCATCCCTGGATCCAAAGACAACACCATTCTCCCCCAGACCCCC